CTGGCCCTGTATAGACTATCGAGGGTTAAATAAAATAACAATCAGGGACTGTCACCCTCTCCCTCTCATGGGCACTGCCCTGGACGCCATCACACAAGCCGCAGTGTTTACTAAACTGGATCTGCGCAGTGCCTATAACCTCATCCGTATTAAGGAAGGTGAGGAGTGGAAGACCGCTTTATCACGCCCACTGGCCACTATGAATATCTGGTGATGCCTTTTGGCCTCTGCAACAGCCCTGCCGTCTTCCAGCGGTTCATTACAGATGTGCTGAGAGACATGTTGGGCCGCTGGGTCTTTGTTTATCTAGATGACATCCTCATCTACTCCCGCACGGCCGAAGAGCACATCCGGCATGTTCGAGTTGTTCTGTCCCGCCTCCTGGACCATGGACTTTACTGCAAACTGGAGAAGTGTGCATTTCACCAGGAGTCGACCTCCTTCCTGGGTTTTACCATCTCCTCCCGGTGCCTGAAGATGGACCCCCAGAAGGTTCAGGCAGTAGCTCGGTGGCCTCTACCCACGACCCTGAAGCAGCTGCAAAGCGTCCTGGGTTTCTCGAACTTTTACTGGAGGTTTATACGCAACTTCAGCTCCCTCGCAGCGCCACTGACCTCACTCACCAAAACCATCAATCAGCTTCGCCCTTTTCGCCTTACTCCAGAGGCTGTCCGTGCTTTCCATGAGCTGGTCGGACGTTTCACTAAGGAACCCATCCTCCTCCACCCGGACCAGACCTGGCCCTTCGTCGTGGAGGTGGACGCCTCTGATGTGGGAGCGGGGGCCGTTCTCTCGCAACGGGGTCCAGACTCTAAGCTCCACTCATGTACCTACTTCTCCCGGAAGTTTTCCCCCACACAGCAGAACTACGGGGTCGGCGACAGAGAGCTGCTGGCTATAAAATGGGCTCTGGAGGAATGGAGGCAGTGGCTCCTGGGGACCACCGATCCCTTTCTGATCTGGACCGACCACCAGAATCTCATTCATCTAGTCTGCCCGCCAACTCAACCCTCGTCAGGCTCGGTGGGCCCTCTTTTTCGAGCCGTACCACTTCCATATCGCCTACCGGCCTGGCTCCAAGAACCTCAAGGCGGACGCTCTCTCTCGGCGTTTTGCACCAGATGCCGACCCCACGGAGCCTCGGACCATTCTACCGACTCAACGCTTCCTGGCCTCCCTCCAATAGCCGTTGGAGCAGTCCATACGGGCAGCACTTCCTGGCGATCCGGTGCCGCCGGAGGCTTCACCGAACCGTCTCTACGTTCCCGCCTCCTGCCGACAAGAGGCGCTCGCGTGGGGGCATTGTTCACGACTCGCGGGACATCAAGGACAAGCCCGTACCCTCCAGTTCCTCCGTCGGGCTCTCTGGTGGCCATCCATGAGGAAGGATGTCCGCGAGTTCACCGCTGCGTGTGATGTGTTTGCTCGCTCCAAGTTCTCCAACCGACCCGGCGCTGGAGAGTTACAGCCCCTCCCTGTGCCCAAGCGGCCATGGTCACACATCGGGCTGGACTTTGTCACGGGACTGCCGGCGGTCGACCACCTGGACACCATATAGACTATCACGGACCGTTTCTCCTAGGCTGTGCACTTAGTGGCCCTGGCCGGCCTCCCCACAGCCAAGAGGACGGCCGAACTGCTCCTGGAACAGGTGGTGCGGCTCCATGGTTTCCCTCAGGACATGGTTTCCGACCGAGGACCCCAGTTCGTCTCACGCTTCTGGAAAGCGTTCTGTCGCCTGGTCGGTGCTTCCACCAGTCTGTCCTCTGGATACCATCCGCAGACAAACGGTCAGACAGAGAGAGCTAACCAGCAGCTTGGACGCTACCTTTGCTGCTTCGCTTCGTCCCAGCCGACCACCTGGCCCCGCTTTCTCCTGTGGGCGGAGCTGTCACACAACCTCCAGACCTCCTCTGCCACGAGTCTGTCTCCCTTCGAGACCTGTTACGGTTATCAGCCTCCTCTGTTTGACCATCAGGTGCCCGAGGTGGAGGTCCCTGCTGCCCAGATGCTGGTCCGCCGCTGTCGGCTCGCCTGGATCCGGGCCCGTGCGGCCATCACCCGGGCCAACACGGAGTATGCCCGCCAGCATTGCCGCCGCCACCGGCCTGGCCCCGTCTTCCGGTCTGGCGACCAGGTGTGGCTCTCCTCCGCTAACCTGTGGATGCCGGCTGGCTCCCGGAAGCTCACTCCTCGCTTCCTGGGTCCGTTTCCTGTCCCCGAGGTCATCAATCCAGTCACCTGCCATCTGCGCCTCCCGGCTACTCTCCAGATTTACCCGGTCTTTCACGTCTCCAAGCTTAAGCCGGTGATCTCATCTCCTCTCCACCCTCCACCGGTCCGGGTGCCTCCGCCCCACGGCGTTGAGGCGGATCGCACCTACACGGTCCGCAGGATCCTGGAAGCTCGCCGCCGGGGACGAGGTTGGTAGTACCTCGTGGACTGGAGGGGTAGGGGCCTGAGGAACGCTCTTGGGAGCCCACGAGCTCGTTTGTCGACCCTACCCTGCTGACTGACTTCTGGGCTCACCGTCCTGGGACTTCGGGAGCCGTCCTTGGGGGGGGGGGGGGGGGTCCTGTCACAAACTCCTCCCGCTGACTTCATTCCAATCATTCCTGCCACCAACGTGGCGGCTGACGTCATCACGCCGACACTACTTAAGGAAGTGCCGGCGTTTCATTCATTGCTCAGTCATCGTTCTCACCAGACTTTGTATCGAGTCTCCAGGCTTACCAGCCCTCAAAACCTTCTAACTAAACCTTCAGGAGATAACCACGCCGGTTATTTCCGTCACTCCGCGTCTGGGCAACAGAATCTCTCAGTCACGCTTCAGATCTGCCAACGAACCTGACACTGCGCTCCAGCAGCAATGAGTTGAAATCACCAGGGCACAGATTATGAACTCAGCTGAAAAGTACATGAAGTACCAGAGAATATGGGCTGATATAAATGATCGCAAACAAATTACTTTGTTTTGGTGGAGCGATTTTGTGAATATAACAGCAGCCGCGTGCAGGACGCAGCTGGAATATTTGAGCCATTACCACTGAGTACCCTTTGCTCATAGAATGCCTGCAAAGCTGAGTCCATAAATGACGTAATATATGTGGATACTGGATCTTTTTTCAGGCTTCCCGCAATTTGAACTTTTAGGAAACCCACATCTTGATTCTGGGTTTAAAAATGTATGGTAATTACCGCGTTACTGACAATTGTACCGAGTAAATATTACCTTTTTCTTTCCCTGTAATGCCTTACATTTCCACATTACAGCAAAAAGCAATGCATTACAGTAGTTAATTACTTTTGTATCGCGTTACTCCCAACACTGTCAGCCACAGATCACTCGCTCAGAGCACCTGGGCTTCCTACCGTGGTGACTCACTCACATGTTCCCTCTCCTACATTAGTTGGTGACGCGGTGAATTACCACTTTACCAGTGTGCTTTTCCTGTTTGTGAGACGAACCCCTCCTCTATAACCAGGTTACTGGTACGGAAGCCTGGAAAGGCCACAACTCCTCAAACGTTCTGATATGAATTAATATAATTGAATAGAGTAACTTTTATTAGTCCCACAGTGGGGACATCCACTCATTACAGCAGCACGTACACTTAGAGAAACAGATTACAGGTAAAACTGTGATTCCAGCCATGTTTTCTTTGACAACTTCAATAACTTCATGCTAATGACCCACATGAACATAATCCTCTGTTTAGTGGATGCAATTACATCAGTGAAGTTAGCTTAAAATGATAGATTTTTTTTTCTTGGCAGGAAATAATAACTGGTAATATTATGAATGACATGATATTGCCTACCCCTAGATGGAATTTAAAAACATTTACATTAATTATAATTAAAACTTCATATGTGACATGTAGTTGTAACTCTTTACCGCAGATAGATAGATAGATAGATAGATAGATAGATAGATGATAGATAGATAGATAGATAGATAGATAGATAGATAGATAGATAGATAGATAGATAGATAGATAGATAGATAGATAGATAGATAGATAGATAGATAGATAGATAGATAGATAGATAGATAGATAGATAGATAGATAGATATAGATAGATAATGTGAAGAAATTCAGGAGAATTGATTTCTATTAAACAAAGGTCAGTTCCCTCTGTAAAGTCCGAAGTACGTTTTCTTTTTCTGATGTTTTTTTTTTCAGTCAGTACAATACACTCAGTCCAATACATCCCCAAATATCAACACCATATGCTACACATGCTTTATAACCTTTGGCTTTTATCTTTATTCTCTTCAGCTTTCTTTGGTTTGCAGAATCTTACTTCACCTAAACATTAAGCATACAGGATTTCTCGTGGTCTGAACTTTGGCTTTTTGTAGTCATTTCATGCAATCCTGATGGTCACCAATTATTCCCCTTCTGTGTGAAAACAAGAGTCTTTGTTCGGTGAAGTGAATCATTTAAAGATGTTTCAAGCCCAGACTCAGGCTGTTGCGTAATGTTGTGGGTTTTCCAAATCTGTGTGCTGATTCTCAGTCCCTTCATGTCCAGTCATGCATCAGCTTAACTTTGTCCAGACATAATTCTGACACTAAAGGGGGCCAGTGAGTGTTAAAGCTCGGTTTTAATTTGTGTAATAATGAAAACATCAACAGGAAAAACCGTAAAGGTACCCAACCAACCGCTGGTGTTCTTCTATTGTTGAGTTTAAATGGTAAATAGTCTGTATTTGTATAGCACCTTCTTTGGGTTCTACAACCCCCAAAGCGCTTCACAACACAATGAGCTACAATGTAGCCACAGCTGCCCTGGGGCAGAGGCAAGGACTGCCATACACTGATGCCACTGGTCCCTCCAGCTACCACCAACATGAAAGCGGGTTAAATGTCTTGCCCAAGGACACAACAGCAGCATTCTCTGGTGGGAGCTGGGATTGAACCTGCATAGTATGAAGACACAGAACACTTATATGTATTTCATGTAGGTTTAATCTGGTCTCTTCCTGTCTTTCAGGGAACCACATGCTGTTACGAGTGCTGCCTTCAGTTTATGCAAGACAACCGGATACCATCCACCGTCACCTGGGTAACCTCACAAGGATGATGTCACAGCTGGAAACACCTGAGAAACAGCACCTGATTAGACTTATCCAGATGGTTGCTGAGCAACATCCACTTGTACGTTTTATTTTCTGTGTAAATCAGAGTTCAGGGGAGTTTCACATCAAGAGGGTGATTATAAGATATGGGGGTAATAACACGTGTGTCCGTCCTGTTAAGATTCAGCAAAGATGTTTAGCTAAAAGATGGATCGGCTGAGCCACAGCTCCCAGCTGTTATATGTTTACTTTTCCTGCATTTTCCTAACAGCTCTGTTACAGCAGGAAAAACTGATCTACTGACAGCTTAACATGCAGACTATATGTCAAAATAGCCCTCTACCTGTTTTAACAACTCCACAACAAGGATGAACTCCTCCAGGTTTGTGTTATTTTTGGAGATAAAACATCAGCAAACTGCATCAGTGGTAGAGTTGTATTGCTGTTAGCCAATCAGAGGCGAAATTCAATTCAATTCAAAAATACTTTATTAATCTCAGAGGAAAATTGATTGCTGTAGTAGCTCAGAATAATAATAATAATCAAGTCGTCAAAGAGTTATTGTATATTACAATGGCTGTTGGCAGGAAGGATCTCCAGTAGCGGTCAGTGTTGCAGCGAAACTGAAGAAGCCTCTGACTGAAGACACTCTTCCGTTGTCGGACAGTCTTGTGAAGAGAATGCTCAGGGTTGTCCATCATTTTCTTGATTCTCTGGAGATTCCTTCTTTGCATTATCTCCTCCAGTGGTTCCACAGTCGTCCCCAGAACAGAACCAGCCTTTTTTATTAGGCTGTTGAACCTTTTCAGGTCCCTGCTTCTGATACTACTACCCCAACAGATGATGGCTGAAGAGATTACACTCTCAACAACAGACTTGTAGAAGAGGTGCAGCATCTTGCTACAGACATTGAAGGACCTAAGTGTCCTCAAGAAGTGCAGTCTGCTGTGTCCCTTCTTGTAAACGGCTTCGCTGTTCTTTCTCCAGTCCAGTCTGTTGTCCAGGTGAACTCCAAGGTATTTGTATTCCTCAACCACCTCCACTTCTTCTCCCATGATGGAAACAGTGTTTGACTCCACCCTGTTTCTTCTGAAGTCTAAAATCATCTCCTTTGTTTTTTTCACATTCAAGGTCAGATGAATGTTTCCACACCATGCCACAAAGCGCTCCACCAGCTCTCTGTACTCAGCTTCCTGTCCATCTCTGATACACCCGACAACTGCAGAGTCATCTGAGTATTTCTGTAGATGACAGGTCTCTGATTTGTACTGGAAGTCTGAGGTGTACAGGGTGAAAAGGAATGGTGAGAGTAAAGTTCCCTGTGGTGCTCCAATGTTACTGATCGCCTGGTTTGATGTGCAGTTCTTCAGCCTCACAAACTGTGGTCGGTTTGTCAGGTAGTCTTTAATCCAGGCGATAGTTGAGGCCCCCACCTGTGTCTTCTGGAGTTTCTGGCAAAGTACATCAGGCTGGATTGTGTTAAATGCACTGGAGAAATCTAAGAACATGACCCTGACAGTGCTGCCTGCTTTGTCCAGATGACAGTGGATTGGTTGAAGCAGCTGAAAGATGGCATCTTCAACTCCAACTCCATGGCGATAAGCAAACTGCAGCGGGTCCTGATATGTCCCAGTTTGCTTATTCAGGTGGCCCAACAGGAGTCTCTCCAGGACCTTCATGATGTGGGATGTCAGCGCAACCGGTCTGTAGTCATCATTGACTTATGGGCGAGTTTTCTTTGGAACTGGAACAAGGTAGGATGTCTTCCACAGGACTGGAAACTTCTCCTGGGCCAGGCTGAGGTTGAAGAGGTGCTGCAGAATCCCACAGAGCTGCTCTGCACATGCCTTCAGTACCCTGGGGCTGACTCCATCTGGACCTGCAGCCTTGTTCCTGTTCAGTCTCTCCAGCTGCCTCTTCACCTGACTTCTAGAGACAGATATGGGGGAGGGGGAGATAAATGGGGCAGCAGCATCTCCTGACTTGGTTGAAGACAGATTTATAGAACCAGAAGAGTCCACGACTGTGTTAGAGGACAAAAGAGCTGGCGTGTGACAGGAAAATGTTGGATTCAGAGGATGGGATGTCTGATTGGCTGGGGACAGGCAAGGAGGATGCTGGGTTTGTTCCTGAACTGAACCTATTGAAGAACTTGTTCAGTTCATTGGCTGTGTCCAGGCTGCCATCTGTGCAATCTTTCCTCTGCTTGAAGCCTGTGATCTTCTTCATCCCTGACTAGACATCTCTGATATTGTTCCTCTGTAGTTTGTTCTCCAGCTTCTTCCTGTATGCCTCCTTGCTGTCTCTGATCTTGATCTTCAGTTGCTTCTGTATATTCCTCAATAATTCCCTGTCTCCCTCCTTGAAGGCTTTTTTTTTCTCATTTAGCAGATTCTTCAGTTCACTGGTGATCCAGGGTTTGTTATTAGCGAAGCATCTCACTGTTCTGGTGGGTCTGATGTTGTCCACACAGAAGGTAATATAGTCAGTGACACATCCAGTCATGGCATTGATGTCCTCTTCATATCCTTGGCAGAGAGTCATCCAATCTGTGGTCTCAAAACAACCCTGCAGGGCTTCTTCAGCATCCTGTGACCATTTTCTCACAGTTCTTCTTGTCACAGGTTGCCTCTGAACAAGTGGTTTGTTTTCTGAGCAGAGAAAAACAAGATTGTGATCTGATTGTCCCAGAGGAGGTCTTGTTTTGGACATGTATGCATTCTTTACATTTGCATAACACAAATCCAATGTCTTATTTTCTCTGGCGGAGCAGCTGACAAACTGTTGAAATGTTGCAAGTGAAGCAGAGAGCGAGGCATGATTAAAATCACCAGATATAGCCACAAATGCATTGGGGTGCTGGGTTTGTACCTTAGCGACAGCAGAACTGATGGCATCACATGCATTTTCAGCAATGGCTGAAGGTGGAATATAAACTGTTGCCAAGACAACACTGGTGAACTCTCTTGGCAAATAATATGGGCGACAACTTACTGCCAGGAGTTCAACATCTGGGCTGCAGAGACGACATTTCACTGAAACATGACCTGGATGGCACCATCTGTTGTTGACAAGCACTGCCACTCCACCTCCTTTTCTTTTCCTGCTCCTCTTCAGATCTCTGTCTGCTCGTACAGTCAGGAATCCTGGCAGAGAGACGCTGGAATTGGGGATATGGTCCTGCAGCCACGTTTCAGTGACACACATAACACTGCACTGCCGAAACTCTGGCTGAGTCCTTGAAAGGGCTTAGAGTTTCCTCCATCTTGTTGGCCAGTGATCTTACATTGCCCATTATGATCGATGGAAGAGATGGTTTGAATTTCCTCTTTCTCTGTCTCCGTTTTGCTCCCGCTCTGCACCCACGCTTCTTGCGTTTTAGCTCATTTAGGATTTGTGGCTTCAGTTGAGGTATTATTTCAGCCTTTCCGATGTTAATCACCTGCTCCCGATTGTAAACCAGCTTGTTGCCATGGTTACACATCATAACAAATACTCAAAAAGTGAAAAAAGTGAAAAAATTGCAGTAAAAAAATCCTAGCTTCACAGCACCAGAAACAGAAAAGTAAAATGTCCAAAAAAATACAGTTTTTCTTGAGAAACTAGAAGAAAAAATGTCCAAGAAAAGGCAAAACTTACATATAGTCAACAGAGTTACTCCAACATGCAGCCACCCAGAGCAGCGCAGTTCCGGAATGTGCAAATATCAGGTAATAAGTCTCCAAAACCTGCCGTCTTCTGCTCACCTCTGCTATGACTGACTTCTAGCTCCTTAAACAGGAGCGCCAGAGCATTTTATTTTGTTTTGCTACAGAGATCAACTCACAAGGTATTAATTTTTACTAGAGACCACTGCAAAGAAACAGTGAATTTAGTATTTAAGATCTGTGGCAGTGGTATTATTCTTTTTTAACATTTCCCACAGTTCCGGGCCTATACTGTTGACACATACACAAGTATGCAGAAGATCTTTTTCTCAAAACAGCAGCAACAACTTTCATAACAGAGTTGTAAATTCTCCTAAGTCCTCGTGTTTTGGGATAACATTTTCAACCCACATCCTGCTGCTTCTCTCTTTTTTTAATGTACAACCTACTGAAGTTAGTCAACATCCATCTGGAGGCCCCAGCTGAGTTTCATTGCTGAACAACGTGGATTGTTCTTGGTGTGGACCACTTTCTTTGTAAATGAAACCTAGTTTTTTTGCTCCAAATGATTTTTAGTCAAACCATCTTAATTATTTACCTTTGACTTGCCTGTGTGCCACAACGAGACCACCACCAAGTAAAACACATTAAAATTTTGTTATTAATTCTGAAATGGAGCGCATATCACTGCAGGAACTACTTTATTCTTACACATTTTGGAGAAGAGCTGCTGTTTTTCACACAACAGGAACCTGATCTCAGTGGTGAAACAGGCACAATTCAGTTCAGTTGAGAAACAAAACCAACCATCTGGAGTTATTCTTACCCTCTGCCTCACCCCCCTCATCACCCCACACAGAGACTACTCACCAAAAATGTTCTGTTTTATGCAGCCGCATTCACGACATCAGTTACAAAATGTTTCATAGCATGGTGTAACTTACTAGAAGTGATGGGAGGCTGACATTTCAAATGTTCTTAAGAAAAGTGGTGGAATTAGCAAGTTCATTCAGAACAACTGTCTCACAAATTTGAATAAAAATTCTGAAACATTGGTGGATGTATTCCAGTTTTACCCGAGAGCTGCAGTTGGTCCTTGATTAATTTTCTCATCCCTTACGCTGCTCCAGGATCTGTCCCCTCATCTGCAGGTTTCATGAGTTACACCCAGAAAATCAACAATCCCTCTTAACTGAGTGCTTTGTACGTCTGTATTAATCCACACAGATGCTGAGCACTCAGGTTCCTGTACTGGTCAGTTACCTGAGTGACCATTCTCTGACCGAGGCTCTGCTGGGAGCTCTGGTAGACGTCTCACAGGCCAGTCCTTCATCACTCATCAACTTTCTTCCTACATTGAGGATGGTGGGACAGCATTCTACTGCGTTCCAGGGCAGTGTGGCCAAAATCCACGGTTCTGTGGGCATCATCAGTGAGGTAAAAAACGTATCTGCATGATAAAATGCTGCTGAAATTGTCCAGGCCTTTGGGTTTTATTCACAAATTCACACTGAAACTGAGACAGATTCAGCTTAACATCCAGCCCACACCAAACACTAACTCTACACTCAAAAAATAATTTTTGGCCCCATTAAACACCAGCTATAAGGTTTATATAAGAGTTGACTAAAATTTATGAAATCACAACTGTTATTTATCAAAATGGTTAACCTAAAATCAAATGTACCAAGCATAAATGCAACCTAAGCATCTTTAGTAAACCCCGCTTCTTTGAGTCCCATTTTTAGGACTTTTAAAGAGCATACTAGGGGGCAACAAATCCCCAGTGTGTCATCTGTACTTCATCTGGGCTGAAGAAGAAAAAGAACAAAACTGCACCCAAAAGCAAAATAAGATCCCTTATAATCACTAACCTACATTTTTCTGAAGATGCAATGAACATGGCACTGCAGTGGCTGCTGGTATCATACCGCATTTTAGAAGAAACTATCTTTTATATAAAGATAAAAATCATGAGATCATCATCACAAGAACACTCAAAAAATTAAAAAGATTAAAAAATTATGAAAACATATCATAAATTAGAGAAAAATTAAAAAATGTAATAAAATTATTTGAGGAAAGGGAAAGAGAAATGGATAAGATAGTGGTAAATAGTGGATCCTGGGAAAGGCAGAATTGAAGGAGAGGGTGTTGATGAAGAATCACCTGAAAGTGTTGGATTTTGTTTACCAGTTCCTCACAGCTCCAGCCTACCTCTCATTAGGGCTGCACAATGGATTTTGAACAATCATAAAAACAAAACAAGCCGAGTATTTGCTCCTCCCTCCTGCACTGCTCTGAATTACAAATCAAGTGCATCTCCAACACAGCCAACTTAGCAAATTTTCAGACCCCCTTCTTGACTTTATTTTCCTAAAATCACATAGAAACATCAGGCAACATTTCACCTTATGAATAACTTTGTTGTTGACATTTCCTGCAGGTTAGCAAAACACCCAGCCTTCACTCCAGATCGTCCTTCCGGGCATTCGGAAAAGGAATGTTGTTACATTACACTGACTGACCAATCATAAACCTTTCTCGGTGGAGCTCGCTTGCTAAAATTTTGTTTTACAAGCGAAATTAATTCTTATATCTGAAGTGATTTATCAGGGCTGCAAACTCTCACATGATGAGGGTCAGACTTGCATTTGACTGTCTTTACACATTCTCACACCATACCATAATTTTTCACACTGATAAATAATAATAGTTCCTCTATCTGAGCAACACTTAGCATTGCGCTACTGCTATGGTACCGCTGGTGAGGGCTAAATAATTATTATACAGCCTGTTTTGGAAGTTCACTACAACATAGATGTTTATATTTGTTTTTATATTATTTGCTGTCAGTATTTGCAGTGTTTGTTTGATCAAACTGGGTCGGTATTGGGTAAGCTTGAAGAGTTAAACTTCAGCCTAAAATATATATATATATATATATATATATATATATATATTTTTTTTTTTTGTTTTACATGCTTTATCTTGAGTTAAAATAATTTATTTGAGTCATAAAACAGAAGAATTTTTATTGCTGTACATTTGGTTACAACATCCAGTGTTGCATTATCTGTTTCTTTTTTAGACTCAGCTGTTCTGGGAAGTAAATCCCTGAAGGACACGAAGGTTTTAGGTTTTCTCTTCCCTTTTCACTTTTCTTCTGTTTACATCACAGATGGAAATCCTAGAATGACGAAACATCCGATCAGTGGCTGATGAGTAATGATGATCTTGTCATAATTCATCAGCTTTTAGACTTCAGTTTCTCTCTTTTTGACCTTGTTTGTTTCTTTGTTAAAAGTTTATGTTGAGAATGTTTTTTATCCTCATGTATGTTAAATTATTTACTGATATTTCTAAAGGCAGGCCAGTTGGTCCATTCATTTCCCTGCTTATATCAGTAGGATCCTCTCTTCCTGGGACAGGTTTACTCTCATGTAGAAGCTGAGACCGTCTGTCTAGCATGAACAGACAAACAGTTCTTAGGAGAGGACTCCAGAGTCCTCCTTCAGCTCCAATGAGGGCAGTTTAGCAACAATTAGGCAAAATTAGCAGCAGGGGAAATATTTGTGTCTCCAGATGAAGTGTTTTCTTTTCACACCCACACATCGTTCGGTAAATTTAAGGGTGTCCTAAAACGCATGCACGCACGCACGCACGCACACACACACACACACACACACACACACACACACACACACACACACACACACACACACACACACACACATCTTCAGAAAGTGTAGAGCTTGAAACCATAACAAAGTCTTCAGTTACTCCAGGGCTGCATTTCCTCCAAAAGCTGTTTCCTCCTCAATCTTCTTGTCAAACCCCTGCCAACCCAACTTTAGCACACACACACACACACACACACACACACACACACACACACACACACACACACACACACACACACACACACACACTCACACACAATGTACCTTGTCTTTCTTCATCTTGGAACCATTTGGAAAATAACCCTTGTTTTGTGGAAAATACTCCTGCAGAGGCCTCCTGGTGATGGCAGTGGAAAGTGCCTCCCGTGGATTTGTCTTTGTGACAACCCAACATTTTTGTGAAAATTTTCTGTTTTGTTTTATTCAGATTAGTGCACAAGGCTGTTGGACTCTACCTGGGCTGTTCCTTGTCCTAGAACATGTGGGCCATTTTCATGAAGAAGAACTCAAGGTGTTTTCATGGAGAAGAGGGTGTCTGGATTGGGAATTATGTGTTTCTGTTTGTGTGTGTGTGTGTTTCTTCCCATGGACTCACCACTCATGGGAGGGGCCAAAGGGGTCGGGTGCAGTGTGTGACGGGTGGTAGTCGAGGGCGGGGACCTTGGCGGTCTGATCTTCGGCTACAGAAGCTGGCTCTTGGCTCATGGAATGTCACCTGGGGGGAAGGAGCCTGAGTTGGTGTGTGAGGTTGAGAGGTTCCGACTAGATATTGTCGGACTCACCTCAACGCATGGCTCTGGCTCTGGAACCAGTTTCCTTGAGAGGGGTTGGACTTTCTACCACTCTGGAGTTGTTCCCACTGAGAGGCGCCGAGCAGGGGTGGGCATACTAGTTGCCCCCCATCTCGGTGTCTGTACGTTGGGGTTTACCCCAGTGAATGAGAGGGTAGCCTTCCTCCGTCTACATGTGGGGGGACTGGTTCTGACTGTGGTCTGTGCTTATGCACCAAACTACAGTTCAGACTACCCACCCTTTTTGGAGACCTTGGAGGGGGTGCTGGAAAGCGCTCCTTCCGGTGACTCCCTCGTTCTGCTGGGGGACTTTAACGCTCACGTGGGCAATGACAGTGAGACCTGGAGAGGTGTGGTTGGGAGGAACGCCCCCTGATCTGAATTCAAGTGGTGTTTTGTTATTGGACTTCTGTGCCAGTCATGGATTGTCCATAATGAACACCATGTTCAGACATACAGGTGTCCATATGTGCTCTTGGCACTAGGATACCTTAGGCCGCAGCTCGATGATCGACTTTGTTGTTGTTTCATCTGACCTGCGGCCGCATGTCTTGGACACTCGGGTGAACAGAGGGGCGGAGCTGTCAACTGACCACTACCTGGTGGTGACTTGGCTCAGATGGTGCAGGAGGATGCTGGTCAGACCAGGCAGGCCCAAACGTATCATGATGGTCTGCTGGGAATGTCTGGCAGAGTCTCTTGTCAGAAGGATCTTCAATTCCCACCTCCGACAGAACTTCCAAAATGTTCCGGAGGAGGCGGGGGATGTTGAATCTGAATGGACCCTGTTCCGTGCCTCCATTGTGGAGGCGGCCGACCAGAGCTGTGGGTGCAGGATCGTCGGTGCCTGTCGTGGTGACAACCCCCGAACCCGCTGGTGGACCCTGGCGATTAGGGATGCTGTTGAGCTGAAGAAAGAGCCCTATCAGGTCTTTTTGGCCTGTGGGACTCCAGAGGCAGCTGAAGGGTACCGGCAGTCCAAGTGGAACGCGGCTCGGGTGGTCGCCAAGGCAACAACCCGGGCTTGGGAGGAGTTTGGTGAGACCATGGAGCAAGACTTCCGTACGGCTTCGAGGAGATTCTGGCGCTCTGCCCCCCCCCCCAGTGTGCTACCAAAACTGTCTATAGTGGGGACTGTGTGCTGCTGACCTCTACTCAGGACGTTGTGGATCGGTGGGCAGAATACTTTGAAGACCTCCTCAATCCCACCGACATGTCTTCCAGTGAGGAAGCAGAGTCTGGGGACTTTGGGTTGGCCTCTCAAATCCCTGGCGCTGAGGTCACTGAGGTGGTTAAAAAGCTCCTCTGTGGCAAGGCTCTGGGGGTGGATGAGATCCGCCCGGAGTTCCTTAAGGCTCTTGATGTTGTGGGGCTGTGTTGGCTGACGCAGCTCTACAATATTGCGCGGACATTTGGGGCAGTTCCACTGGACTGGCAGACCGGGGTGGTGGTCCCCTTATTTAAAAAGGGGGACAGCGGGTGTGCTCCAACTACAGGGGGATCGCACTCCTGAGCCTTCCTGGTAAGGTCTATTCAGGGGTTCTGGCAAGGAGGGTCCGTCGGATTGTTGAACCTCAGATTCAGGAGGAGCAATGTGGTTTTCGTTCTGGCCGTGGAACACTGGACCACCTCTATATCCTTAGGGGGATCCTGGAGGGTGCGTGGGAATTTGCCCAACCAGTCTACATGTGTTTTGTGGATTTGGAGAAGGCGTTTGACCACGTCCCTTGGGGGGCCCTGTGGGGGTTACTCGGGGAGTATGGGGTACCAGGCCCTCTGATACGGGCTTTTAGGTCCCTGTATGACCGGTGTCAGAGCTTGGTCCGCGTTGCCAGCAGTAAGTCGGGCTCGTTCCCAGTGAGAATTGGATTCCGCCAGGGCTGCCCTTTGTCACAGATTCTGTTCATAACCTTTATGGACAGGATTTCTAGGCGCAGCCAAGGTGTGGAGGGCATCCGTTTTG